AAGAATCACTTGAACCAGGGAGGGAGAGGTTGCAGTGAGCTGAGATTGTACCACTGCACTCTAGCCTGGATGACAGACTATATCTCAAAAAATAATAATAATAATAATAAAAACAGGTAGATAACCAAGAATTTTTGTTTGTTGCAGTTTTTACTATGATTACTCAGGAATATTATTATTTAGTGACTTTTTTTAACTGTCAAAAATATTTGAGAAACTTCACCAAATAAATTACAAAGTGTCCTGGAAAATCTTGACACCACAATAATACACTGTCTGTGTATTTCTTTTAGCTATGGAAACATGGTGCTTCTTTGGGTTTTTGTGATTAAATTTTGCATTTCCTATTTGTAACTTTATGCCTTCTATATCTTCCTTACTTGTTTTTTTTTTTTTTTTTTTTTGAGACAGGGTCTTGCTCTGTCACCCGGGCTTAAGTATAGTGGTGTGATCACAGCTCACTGCAGCCTCAACCTCCTGGGCTCAAGCAGTCCTCCTACCTCAGCCTCCCAAGTAGCTGGGACTACAAGCATGCGCTGCCATGCCTGGCTAATTTTTACTTTTTTTTTTTTTTTTTTTGTAGACAGGGTCTCACTCTTTTGCCCAAGCTGGTTTCAAACTCCTGGGCTCGAGCAATCCTCTGGCCTTGACCTCTGTGTTGGGATCACAGTCGTAAACCACCACGCCCAACCTTTGCCAATTTTTAATCCTTACTGCTATTCGCTCTTTATCAAGACCAATACAGAGGAGTTCCTTATAAGGGTGCCATAGGTATAGGTGAAAATGGATTAGCAGATGCTCTTCAAATCAGTTTTAGTGGTCCTATCAGAATTTTGAAAGTGAGAGTAGAATTTTAATAACTGGAAACATGACAATTCTTTGATACCTTTGGAGGAATCTGCTAACAAAGTCTTAAAAAAATTATAGCCAAGTGCAAACGACCTTTTTTTCCATCTTGGCAATTATTTAAAACTCTTATAAATACCTAAAATAAAATATATACTGAGTCCTAGCCATGTTTTAGATAGTGTGACATATGAAATATTTGCCAATTGTTAAGTGGCAGTAACTGAAATTTTAATGAAGGATATTTACCGGAAGTAAAGTGACAATAGGTAATTTTTTAGCTAACAATTATATTCTGTTTTTTCAAATTCTAGTGAATAGTCTCAACCTTAACAGAGATTACTCTGAATGTCGTCTGAGATTACTTTTTGAATATCAGCCCTTATGGGTCAAAGTTTCATATGCTTTATGAATTACAATTTTAGTACCAGCCATGTCAAGCCATGGAAAGAATACCAACACAGATGTGTTTATTCAATTCACAATTTTAAAGCTGTAAAAGACCTGAGTTTGGCTGGTGCAGGGTTCTTCAACCTTGACACTACTGGTATTATGAGTAGGATAATCCATTGTTGTGTGTGTGGGAACTGTCTTGTGCATTTTAGGATATTTGTGACATCTCTGGCCTATGCCAAGGAGATGCTGGTAGCACCTGTACTCTTGCTTACCATGTTCCTTGTGGGTTTAGAAGATAATCCCAAATGTTGAAATCCCAAAAGACCAAAATCCCAGTCACAAGATAGTTGCATCATGTTAGCCCAGCTTTCATGGACTATTTCTGTACAACTGCCCATAATCTATTCCTGTAATACATTTTCTCATTTGCCATTTTTTTTCCAGTATCTTAAATTGTCAGACTTAAAAAAAATAATTCAGCATGCTGTGTATTTCATCTTTGCATCATGTCCAATACTGGAAGTGTAAACTGCAGAGACTTTTAGAGAGTTCTAATTTGTCTTATGCATTTTTTGCAAATGTGACTTCATGAAAGTACATTATCAAAACACTGACTTTGTGTGTAAGCACTGTGCATGTACCTAAAAACGTTAAAACTTCCTCAACAAATGAAGAGATGAGAGATGTCTTTTGCATATCTGCATTTGTGAAAGATAAAAATTTCTTCAGGTTTCAGCTCTTTGGGCAACTGCGTAAGTGAACAGTGACCCACTACAGGTTTTGATCTATCTCATCAAAAGACTTGTCACGGTATTTCAGATGACCAGTTATTAAGCTAGGTGCACACGACTACCAACCATTGTGACACGCTTTTATACATTTCCCTTTTTGATCTACTTCTTTATGAATACAGCTCATCTGCTCATAACTCGTTATATGTATGTGACTGTTAGTATACTTGTTTGCAAAATGTTACCATTGCGTTTTATTGTGTCAAATGACCTATGAAGTGTTCTGTCATGTTTTTGTTTCTCAAATAAATCCCCCTTTAAAAATGTAAACAAACATATTTTAAAGAACTAAAAAAAGTACTTTTCCCAGATGTATTATTTTCAATATTTTGGCCTTTTGTGATTGTGATTTTGGGGACTTAAACTTTAGGGATTTTCATCTTTCAGGATTTCAACATTCAGGATTGTGTCTTTTGGAATTACGATTGGCTCTTCTCCCTCTCTGCTCAGTGATGACAACCTAAAATGTCTCCACATTATCAGAGGTCTTCTGCGGGGGGTTACGATCATCCCTAGATGAGAGTCACTGGGCTAGTCCAATTCCCCCACCCACAGATGACAAAACTCAAATCCAGGAAGTAGGACTTACTCAGGGTCATTTAGCTGTAGGAGAAACTAGCACTAGAACCTGTAACAAGTCAGACTCCTATTCCAGTATTCTCATTTTACCACCTTGAGGTAGAACAGAAAGGTTACTGCTAGTATTGTGTGAACTGACATCTTTTAAAGTCGTTTGCACATATTTGAAGTAATTGCAAAATCAAAAACAAAAACACATGCTGAGTCTGGCAAAAAGCTTTTTCCACGAGAAGCTGTTTCCAAATCTTCCTGTGGTCTGGCCATGTGAGCCAAATTGTAGTCTTTAAACTGCTCAGGCTTATTTATTAGTGAGAGGCAGGAAATTTGTTATAAAAGCAAAATAATCCAGGCTGACTGAAGACACTAAATCTAGTCTTCCAAAACTGCCTTCACTAAGAGAACTTAATAGTCTCAACATTTGGTTGCAATGACTAATCCCTATTTTTAGTGAACAGAAAAAGTGCTTACAAAAATGTTTTAAGAAATTTGCAGTATTTTACTCCTCTGCTGGTTCCCCAAAGTCAACTGACACAAAGTCAATTGTGTAAAATATTATGGGATAACACACAAAATATATCATGAAAAAGGATAAAGAAGAAATCAGTATTTATATGGGGTTATATTTACAGGTGTCTCTCCTGGAAAAAGGAATCTAAATTACTCTACAATATTCTGGCTCCCATCATCTTTCACTCTGAAGACAAACAGCAACATAAGGCAACACAGCAAATACTAAAAAAATTGATACTGAACATGGCTAAATGTTTCACTTATGTCTTCTGCAGTGGGATCAAGCACTATCAACTAAAATAATTCCCAAAACTGCTTTAAGCCTTATCTCATGGTTTGCAACCAGAAGGCTGTTTGTAGACATATAGAACTATTATAGTAAGAACTCAAAACGTCTCTCAGATTAAGATGGATAAGAAATAGCCTTTTGTGTTAGGGGCAATGTGTTGGAGAACTGCAAAAACGCTCCCCATCCTTGGAGAGTTGACCGAAATTTAACACGGCCTCGAGAAGCCTAAGGCCACATCCATGAGGGCCATCCAGCCCTCTTTTGAGTTCCTGTTGGAAAAGCCAGGCTGCCAAAAAAATGTTACTGTTTGTTCTAACCAACACCTAATAACAGCTCCCTGACTTCCCTTTTAAAAAGCATTTACTAAAAAGGGCTCACAACGACGAATCCTCCTCCTTTCCTTTGAGATGTGTTTGTACCTCTTACAATTCAGGAGTGTCTTCCCTAAGGACCTGGAAGTCAATGCTACGAAATGTAACCAGGAAGGACTGGGCCTGACTCCCGGTCTCTGTGGGAGGATCCTATTTTATCTTAGATAATTCCAAGATAGGAGACACAGCTGGCCTACTTGCGTTTATGCAGTGACCAGCCCTTTGTAATTTTTCACCTCCCTGACTCTACCTGAGCCCTCTCTTCCCACTCCCTACTTCTCCCTTTAAAACTCGCAGTCATCTCGGTGAAAATAGGAATGGAGCTCAGCCTTTCCCCCGTCACTAGTTGCGGAATAAAATCCTTTTTCAGCGCTTTAATGTCCAGCTTCCTGTATCTCTGACATTGGTAGGTACATATTAAAACTCAGCTGGGCGCGACAGGTCGCGCCCATAGTCCCAGCTACTCCGGAGGCTGAGGCAGAAGGATCCCTTGAGCCCAGGAGTTGGAGGCTGCAGCGAGCTACGATCGCGCCACTGCACTCCAGCCTGGGCACAGCGAGACCTCCGTCTCTAAATTAGAGGATTAAAAGCACACACACATAAAACCCCAGATCACTATCAAGACGGGCCTATAAATCTTGGAAGCTTGTCTTACAGGGGCCATATCCTCAAAAGCTTAGGAAAACTCTCCAGTGATCCCCCGCTAAACCTCATCCCCTCTTCTCTTCCCCCAAGGGCCCCGCTACTTCCTGCTTTCCCCGATTCCTAAATCCACCTCTCCCTAAGTGTCCTACGTCGAAGTCTCTACTTTCCAGGATGCTGAACTTTACCAAACGGAAGCTTACCCTCCTCCACGTTTGGACTTTTTTCTACTTATCCCTGTCCCCTCAATTTTCGAGTTTCCTCATCAACCCCACTTCCCTTTTCCTGACGCTCCGGGTCTAGATTTCCTCCTGGCCGCCCCTAGTTTCCCACTCCGACCTCGGCTTCCTCCGCAAGCCGAGCGCCCCTTCCCTCCGCACTTCACTCGGAAGCCCTGGCGCCCCTTTCCGGGAGCGGCGGCCGGTGAGGGGTGCGCGGGACTCGGGCCGCGCCCTAGTCGGCCATTTCGCACACTCGGGGCGCGCCCGGCGGGCTGGGCGCGCGAGGCCTGTCCTGGAGCGCAGGAGTTGAGGGGCTGAAGACCGGGCCGCCCCCGCCGCCGGGGCGGGAACTCACCTTCTCTGAGGCAGGGGCGGGCGTCTACAACTACTGTCCCCCGCCCCGCCAACGCCGCCAGCCAGGGGATAAGCCGCGGTGGAGGTGGCGGAGAGGCAGGAACAACCGCTGCCGCCGCCGCCGCCTCCGCCGCCGAGCAGGCGGGATGGGAGGAGGAGGCGGAGACCCGGCTTCCTGAGGGGAAGTCGCCGCCACTACCGGCTTATGACTGGACAGCGCAGACGCCATGGCGGCGAGGCGCGCTAGTGCGCTTGCGCGGCGAGCCCAGCGCCCAGGAAGCCCCTTGAGCCCCGCCTTGCTGCTTGCTTCCCCTACTGGGCCTGGCAGTTCCCGGCGCGGTTCTAACGTCTTGCTGGCGCGACTGATTTTGATCCTGCCCCTCTGCCCTCCTTTTGGGGGCAAAGAAAATTGTTCGTGGGGCCGCTCGCCTTGGGAGAAGGAGTATAAAGCCAACTGAGTGGAAAAAAAAAGTCTGAAAATTTACAGTTCCACCCTCAAAGTATCTCAAAAATACATGATCTGTTGCCTTATCAACCCCCAAATATAGGTTCGTGTACCAAATGGGCAGTAAGCCAAACACTGACACATTCAGAGCTTAGGAGCAGGGGAAGGTTTATTCCATTTGGCCAAAGTGAGAGAGCGGGAGAAGTCTCTCAGATACTGACATGCCTTGGAACGTAACTGGGGGACTTTTATGAGTAAGGTAAGAATAAAGAGGGTGGGATCCCCCGTGATCAAAGTGTTTCCTCCCTGGGACTCTAGGTCTCATCTGCCCCATCAGATGATGCCCCATCTGGACCATCAAGGAGGTCTGCGTGACCTAAGAGTCATCGTTGTTTTGTTTGTGATAGGGTCTTGTGCTATGCCCCAGGCTGGAGTGCAGTGGTACGATCACCGCTCACTGCAGCCTCGACCTCCTGGGCTCAAGTGATCCTCTCACCTCAGCCTCCCAAGTAGCTGGGACTGCAGGCAGGCACATACGCCTGGGTGATTTTCGTTCATTTTTTATAGAGATTGGGCAGGGGGTGGGGATGTCTCACTATATTGCCCAGGCTGGTCTCGAACTTCTGGGCTCAAGTGATCCACTCACCTCAGCCTCCCAAAGGGCTGGGATTACCAGTGTAAGCCACCGTGCTAGGTCCATTGTTCTTTAAAAGAAAAACAAATTCATCAGTCTTGCCTGCAGCTCTGGGGTTAGGATATGAAGTTAATCAATTCCTAGTCACTACCCCTCTACTGAAATGACTACGTGCAAGCAAGCATGCATGGAGGAAGAAAAGGACAAAGAAAAGGAAAATAAGTAAAACAAAACATTTTATGATCTATACAATAAAGCCTCAGTTATAATCTCTCTTTCCTTTATACAGAGTAGATTAAGCACAATCATTTGTCATGGTACGTTGTCATCACTGGTCCATAAATGACCTTTTTCTCTCTCCCTCTTGCTCTTTCAGTATATACATCTATAATATATATTATACATACAAATATATATGTATGTATATATCTCATCATCTCATCCCGTTTCCCAGAGAAATCACTAACCTAGTTTGTATTCATCATTTCCTTTCTCTATGTATTATCATACATAGGCATGGCTGAAACACATTTAGATTGTTTTTAAACTTTATAAGATTTACACCTTTATGAGTATGCTGGGGGGTGTTGTTCATTTCACTTAATATTTTGAATTTCGTCTAAGCTGTTGAAGACAGCTGTAATTTGTTCATTTCACTGCCGGACAGGATTCCACTGATTTTCCTGTGGATGGGCACATCTCCTGGTATACTGTGGAAGAGTTTTTTTGGGTATTCTCTACTTTCCTGTCACATTGCCGTTGCCTTATTTCAGATTCTCATCATCTCTTGCTAGAAACATGCTAACATCTCCCTCTGACTTCATCTACTCCAGGCTACTCTCCATATTGCTGCCAAAGGGTTCTATCTAAAAGTCATTACTGGCTCCCCAGTGTCTGTTGGAAAAGGTCAAACTGAGTACTATGAGGCTTCTGTGCACCACCTCCCTGATCTCATTATCTTTCCACTGCCCTTACATCCCCACCCTGCTATTACCTGTGATTCAGCAACATTAAACCTATACTGATTCCTATAAATACCACACTATTGCAAAACTCAACTCGCAGTACTGTATACACTTCTCCCTCTTTCTGGAATGCCCTCTGCTCCACTTCCTCATGAATTCCTCTTTCCCTCAGAAATAAATACTATTCTAAATTCAGCATTTTTCATTTCCATGTATTTCTTTATAATTTTACTACATATGTATGTACCCCTAAGTAACATGAAATATTGCATTGCATGGTTTAAAACTTTACGTGTTACTATACATAGTGTTTATTCCTCTGCAATGTTTTTTATGTGCCCTCTTTTATATTAACTCATGCTGATATGTGAGGTTCTCATTCACTTTCACAGTTCAATAATATCCCATTTTATGAATGTACCACTACTTACCCTTTCTCCTAGACGTTTTTGATAGACACTGGGTTTGTTTCCTATTTTTGCTCCTCCAGTTGGTGCTGCTTTAACGTTCTTGTGCAGTCTCCTTGTGCACCTGGAGCAGAGTTTCTCCAGGTTTTATACTTTGGAGATGTTTTTCACAAGGAGGCCTCAGATATACTTCTTACTTCTGTGAACCTCCATTTTTTTCATCTTCAAAATGGCCACAATATCCACCTCAAAGGGTGCCATGAAACTTGCGGTAACATAAGCAAAGAACAATGTCACACATTGGAAGAGATGTTGCTGTTAGAATAGCTTTCAAATGTATATGAAACACTGGGACATAAAACACAGTAGTCTGGTACCAGAATGGTAAAGAGAAGTATACTAATGTATCTGTAGCTCCTGCAATAGTCGCCCAATTATAGTTGTTGCACATATCATGCTGTTTCTTGGCCTTCATGTCTCTGCACATGCTGCCACGTCCTTGGGTGTGAAGTGATCTCCTTTGGTTCTGAGGTTCCGGTCACCCTCCCTACTTCTCTTGTCTGTCTCTTCTCCAGAGCTTTCCCTGGTTCCTCAGAGCCCTGGATACCCTTCCCCTTAGCCTCCTATCTCTCACCAGCTTTACATGCTCTTCCATAATCTCCTTTAAAGGTCAACGTCTCGAAGACAGGGCTTACATTTTACACATTTTATTTTATTTTGTTTTATTTTATTTTATTTTATGTTGAGACAGAGTGTCGCTCTGTTGCCAGGCTGGAGTTCAGTGGCGTGATCTCGGCTCACTGCAACCTCTGACTTCCTGGTTCAAGTAATTGTCCTGCCTCAGCCTCCCAAGTAGCTGGGATTACAGGCACGTACCACCATGCCCAGTTAATTTTTGTATTTTTAGTAGAGACAGGGTTTCACCATGTTGGCCAGGATCGTCTTGATCTCCTGACCTTGTGATCCGCCCGCCTCGGCCTCCCAAAGTCCTGGGATTACAGACGTGAGCCACTGTGCCTATTTTACTTTATTTTTTGAGAGAGGGTCTTGCTCTGTCACCCAGGTTGGAGTGCAGGGGTATGATTGTGGCCAACTGCAGCCTCCTTCTGGGTTCAAGTCATCCCCCCACCTCAGCCTCTTGAGTAGCTGGGACTACAGGTGTGCCCCATCATACCCAGCTAATTTTTATATTTTTTGTAGAGACAGGGCTCTTACTATGTGGACCAGGCTGGTCTCGAACTCCTGGACTAAAGTGATCCTCCTGCCTTGGCATCTCAAAGTGGTAGGATCACAGGTGTGAGCCACCATGCCCAACCTTACTCATCTTTATACCTGGAGCAGTGAGCACAGTGCCTGATACACAGTCTGATAAATGCATGCGGGATGAATGAATCTAGGACTTCTTGGGAGGAAAGGATTGCACAACTAAGGATTTCTTGGAGCCAGAGGGAGAAAGAGGGAAGCAAGCATGCTGTTTAAGTAAGAACACATGAACTAAAGAGTATGAAGTTTTGTCAAGGATGTAATTATGCAGGATATCTTGCATAATCAAGGAGGGCACGTGCTCCTGTCACCCTGGAATGTGAGTGCTGGGTGTGCACAAGAACTTCTTCCTTGATCAGGTCCCTCACACAACATATGAAATGAATGAATGAATCAGTCAGTGAATGTACTTGAAAGCGGTGAGCTTCTCCCCAACTCTAGGCCTATTTAACATTGCCAGGTATTAAGCTATTATTAATCTAAGCATGGGTTGGCAAACATTTTGTGTAAAAGGTCAAATAGTAAATATTTTCAGCTTTGTGGTCCATATGTTGCCTGTTGCAAATATCCAACTCTGCTGTTGCAATGTGAAAGCAGTCACAGAAAATATGCAAAAAAAAAAAAAAAAAAAAAAAGACTGCAGCTGTTTTCTACTACATTTTTCTTTATAGTCACTGAAATCTGAATTTCATGTAATTTTTTTTTTTTTTTTTGAGGTAGGGTCTCGCTCTGTCACCCAGGCTGAGTGCAGTGGCACAATTTTGGCTCACTGCAGCCTTGACCTCTGAGGCTCAAGTGATCTTTCCACATCAGCCTCCCGAGTAGCTGAGACCACAGTCATGCATCAACATGCTTGGATAATTTTGTTTATTTTTTATAGAGATGAGGTCTCACTATGCTGCCCAGGCTCGTCTCAAACTCCTGGGCTCAAGCGATCCTCTTGCCTTGGTCTCCCAAAGTGTTGCTATTACAGGCATGAGCCTCGGCACCTGGCCAAAATAGACTTTTGATTTTTTTTTCTAACCATCAAAGAAGGTACAAACCGTTCTTAGTTTGGAGGTAAAGGAACCTTGACTTTTGGTCTAATTGAACCTTAGCTCTGGGTACAATAGAGGTCAAATCCAGGGATAGGGGCTGTCCTTTAACTAGTCTTCAGATGTAAAATCTTGCAGCTCCTTTGATTTGTCACTAGATGGTGATCATTGCAGGCATGTGGCTGAGCCGGTGGGTCTTTCAAGGAGATGACTGGAGCTCTTCCAGGTATGACAGATTAACAGCTACAGTATTAATACAGACACACAAGCTATCCCAATGATTCAAGACGTATCACAAACCACATGGATTTGATCGCCATCTACACTCCTTCACACTTATTTGTACATATTCCCTGAATTGCAACATACAGGGGAAATGTACTCACTCTCTCAAGGCCTCTGAGG